TCTGCTCTGCTCCGAAAACACAGCAACAATGGACGTCGGAGCTCTGAAGACAAGACAAAGACCTTCAGAAACACAAGAGAAGCCGCCAGCAGTGAGCGGGGCCAAGGCGCTGTGCTCGCGGCCCTGCGGCAGGAGTGGGGCTCCTGGGTGTCAGCCAGAGCCGTAGTTCCTCTTTGATGCTGGGGGCACCGTATTTGTGAGAGAAGAAAAGAGAAAGGAAAAAGAACCCCAGCATTACTGCCCCCCCCCAACTTATTTGCAGCTGCAGCTGCGGGTCTAGAAACCAGAGGACACACGCAGCCCTCAGGCCTGGGGCTAGATGAAACCCCCTGCTGGCTGGGGACAGGAGCCCTGGTGTCCTCAGGCCCAACCTTGGCCCGGAGTGGGAGAAGTGCAAAGACCGGGGGCAGGGGAAAGTGAGCAAGGGGGTGTGGGGAGAGCCGCTCCCTCAAATAAGCCTGAAAACTGAAATTGTAAAGTTGATTTTTTAAAAATCTAATTCTACATCCATAGCTACATAATCCTGTAACAAAGATTTTTAAATAAACAGGATTAACTGGAATTATATCCACGGCAAGGAATATAAAATTATGTATTTAAAAAAAAAAACAGGCAGAAATAAAACAAGAACAGATGACTACGAAAAGAGCCAATTAAAAATCCTAGAAATGAAAACAACAGTCACTGGGATTACAAAAAAAGCCTCAACATCCAAGATAAACTTTAGAATCTAACAGTTGGAGAGAGAAGTAGTAAGAAAAGAATACTACCAAGGAATTCTCCAAAGTACAGCACAGAGAAGCAAAAAGATTAAGATTAATTCACATGAGGAACTTTTGGGGATGACAGAAATGCTCTTTATTTTAATATGGGTGACGTGTTATGATGGAGGAATAGAATAGAAAACCTGAAGGAGACATCACAAGGTTAAAACCTGACTCACGCAAGGAGGTGGGGCAGAAGGGACTAGCATGACCATTAACCCAGCCATAGAAACCAAGACCCTTAGTGCCTTATCACAAGGCGTAGGCCCAAGCAGGTGTCAGACTGCTGTAGGGAATGTTAGAAACACAGACCTGAGGGCAAAGAATCAGAGATGGGGCCCACTGTGAAATCTCTGGCCCCTCTAAGGTTCCACATAGTTATCCAAAATCAGCAGCAAACAGGCCACGCCACAAAGGAGTGAGCCCCCCCACAAGAATTAAGGACTCTGTCAGTCAGTCTCTGCACTGGCTCCGAGCAGCCGTCCTCTGCCCACCTGTGCCCATGCAGGTGCTTCTTCCCACCTGCTCCCTCCCTCCACAGGGCAGCAGCCTCCTGCCTGCCCATGGCCTGCACCTGCCGGGCTTCTCAGCACTGACCTCCTTCAGTGGAGGCCACTCTCCTAAGGCCTGTGACCACACAGACCTCTCTCAGCAAACCTGTCCCTTTGGGGCAGCTCTTCCTGCCCGCCGGTGCCTGTGCAAGAATCCTTTACTCCCGTCCTTTTCCCTAACAAACCGGCTCTTGAAATATAGCTGAGTCTGTCTCACGGAGAAACTTGCCGTGTATCCCTGAAAGGGGCGCTCTGGGGAAACCTTTTCCAGAGTGAACCCGAGGACCCCGTACTAACTCCAGAACGACATCAGTTACACTTCCAAGAGGATACACAGGAGTGGGTGTCGGGCCTTTACCTAAGACCATCCCGGAGGCACAGGACTAGCAGCTGGAGGCCCTGTGCGCTCTGTGGAACATAACACCGGCTGGTGAGGCTGAGCCTAACCTTAACAGGCCCTAAACCTACGGTAAAAGAAATGGCCTGGCCATGCCAACTGTGTCTAGGTTTTTGTTTGTTTGTTTGTTTTTTAACCTAAATAGCTTTAAAATAGTTGCAAAAAAGGCTAAACTTTCCATTCCTGCCCCAGAGGAGTGCGCAGGGCCGGTTCCTCAGACCCTTCCTACCATCCCGGTCTTCTACACATAGCTAGTTCAGTGCTGGTCAAGTGTGCGGACATGGCAGGTTGAGAGGCAGGAGGAGGAAGAGCACGGTCAGGACAGCGGCAGTCCCACTGCCTCAGCCACAGCCCAGCGATGATGCGGTGCTGGAGCCCAAACACCTCAACAGTCAGCTTGGCTTGGTCACGAACTAGCGCCGACTCTCAGTCTCCTCAGTAAAACAGGGCCAACACCACAACCTAATTCCAAGGGTTACTGTAAAGACTGAGCTAGCGAATACAGTGTGTTTGGAATAGTGCCTGCCACACTGTTCAGCTCTATTTACTTTGTTTGCCCATACAGGGGGCTAAAAAAGGCGGTCAATGAAGAATAAAGTTATTTTTAAACAACGCTAATTCATCTAAAAATGTTTTAAACATATTTTTCTATAAATTCTAGTCATTTTCAGGTGAAGTAACTCTAAATGTAAAGCGATGTGTCCAAATAATCTAAAAAATTCAATAAAGTCAAGAGACACAGGAAAATTATTTACTGTATATTTTTTCAGAGGAACAATGAGACTCAATGTTTTAAATTTAGACATACATCTTCTGAAAGACGGTGGCTGAAGAAAAGCACTGAGAACATTACTTGAAAATGTTAACATATTATTTAAAAATAAGTTTTCCGAAACTTTTCTGTTTTCCCAACTTTTCTCTCCTGTAATATTAGTGTTTTTCAGTAGTGAGCAGGTGGCAGGCAGTTCTGTCATGTGGAGATGGGCAAAGGCAAAGCAGAAACAGAATGCCCTGGTCCTCATGAAAACTTATTTTTCAAAACAACAGACAATAAATAACTAATAAAATCATATATTCCCCATGTCAGATGACACGAGCGCTTGTGGAGGAAAGCTTAAGGAGACTGCAAAGGAGAAAAAACTATTATAGCTAATAAATGAGTGAGTAGAACAGTAGGATACAAGGTTAATATCCAGGATATATAAAGAACTCTTAGAATTCAACAAACAACTCAGTTATAAAAGGAAAAATGATCTGAATAGACATTTCTCCAAAGACGATAACTGGTCAACTGGGACATGAAAAGATGCTCATGCCCATTGTGAGGGATGTGAAAATAAAAACCATACTGAAATACAACTCACATCCAGTAAGATCACTGTAATCCAAGGCCGAACCACGCCAAGTTCTGGCAAGAAGAAACAGAAACCCTCACATCACCGGTGAGAATGCAAATGGAGCAGCTGCTGAGTTTCGGGATTCCTCAAAAAGCTAAACATTGAATTACCCATATGACCCAGTCTGCACTTCTAAGTATACACTTGAAATGATACTTGTACACTAATTTCATGGCAGTGTTACTCACAACAGCCAAAGGTTGACACAATCCAAGACTTCACCAACAGATAAGTAAATAAAATGGAGCATAGACATTCAAGAGAGAATTATTCAGCTCTGAAGGGAATGAAGTTCTGACATGCCCCCTAATGAGGATGAATCTGGAGGTCACTATCACAAGTGAAATAAATCAGACACTTAAGACTCTTCAATGTTTACTGGTAAGCGGAAGAAACCAGTCTGAAAAAAGCTACCTACTGCATGACATTCTGGAAAAGGACAAATACTTTATGATTCCATTTACATGAACTGCCCAGAATTTTATAGAAACAGAAAGTAGACTAAAGGACAGTGAGTACTTAATGGTCAGAGTTTCTGTTTGGGGCACTGAGGAGCTTTTAAAAATAGTAGCGATGATTGCACAATATTGTGAATGTAAATGCCGCTGAATTTTATACTTAAAATGGCAAATTTTGTTATCTATTTATCACAATGAAACACACACACACACACTCCAAAACCCACAGGACTATATGCTCAAATGGGGAATTGTATGGTAATTATCAAGTTAGCTTTTTTTTTTTTAACGTAAAAGGGGGAAAAAGGAATGAGTTCTCAAGCTATAAAAAGACATGGAAGAAACTTCCATGCCTATCGCTAAGGGAAAGAAACCAGTTTGGAAAAGCTACACACTGTCTGATCCAACTCAACGACACTCTGGAAAAGGCCAAACTAGAGAGACAATGAAAAGATGAGAGGGTGCCAGGGGTTCAGGACGAGGAGGAGGGCAGGTGGGACACAGGCCTTGTCGCAGTCGCGGGTCCTGTGACCCTGGGAGGCAGACCCGCGGCTCCGGGGATGCACGTTCTCAAATCCACAGGACTGCAGGACACAAAAGAGCAAGGCTCTTGCAGATCAAGGGCTTTAGTTAAAAGTAACGTGTCAATACTGGTTTGTCAGCTGCAAGGTTCCCTACCCCTGTAGGGTGCTAACGGGGAACCTGTGTGCAGGCGGGAAGGGCATGCGGGAACTCGACTTTCTGCATAATTTTTCTGTAGACCTAAAACTGCTCTAAAAAACAGTCTATTTTAAACACGTACACTTAACACAGAGACTGCACTGAATTTTATCCTCTTCTCATGATTCATAAGACTATTCACTTTGAACACAACTTCTAATTTCGCATTGGATGGGGAGGAAGCGCCGATTCTTCTCCCAGCACAGCATCTCGGCAGCACTGAATCACCCTGCTGCAGAGTTCTACCTCCTTCCCCTACTTCACCTGCTCCTCCACCCCCGACAAAATTATCTTATGACCTAAATTTTGGTATTCATGTAACTACCTCCATCGAGATAATTTTTGAAGATCTCATAGTCTTTGAAAACACTTTCTTACATTTATGACTAGATTCCAGTCTAATTATAATTATGAATTTCAGTGATATTATTATACCAAATTGCCATGCCTCCTGTTTTATTCACTTTGTTCGTTTTCTATGAAGTATCATCTGATGAGGAACCTATATGTGTGTCTTACACATCCTTCTGGGAAAAAAGGAAGGTTTTCTCTACACTCGAGAACCAACATAAAGGATGAAGCTGGAAGCCAAAACTGTCCCAGAGGCAAGGCAGCACCCAGAACAACTTTTCTCCACCTCCTGGTTTAAAATGACCCCCTTCCCAAACTCTAAACGGCTGCTGGCCCACTGTATAAACACCCTTAACTGTTACCTTGGTCTTTCCCAGCTTCATCGACGTGCTGAAAGTCTTTCAGTGTCTGGAGGTTACAGAAACCCTCTCTGCAGTGCTGGATAACTTTCTTTGATCCGTTCTTGATGAGATAATCCATCAGCGTCAGGGACTTATACACGTGGCGCCAGTTCTTCCCCTGGTCACTGAGTCTCTGCCACAGCATATTCATAATCTCTGAGAGAGAAATTGTGTTGAAAGTCAGGTCACTGATATCTAACATCAGAGAGCTGGAAGGACCCCAAGGGTCATTAGAAGTTGCTTCCCTGACTTTTACTTCAGCATCTGAGTAATTTTTCATGAAGTTTTTCACTTGCCTCCTGAATGCCATAAGTCAGAGAAATTGGAAGATGAGATTCGGGTGAGAGTAATGGAAGAGGAGTTGATGTGCTTGGTTTACAGAAGCCTGGGGACGTCACTGGTCCCCAGTTCTGCTGCTTCCCAAATCAAGTGACTCGTCTCCATTGGATAAGGTATCAATTTCCTACAAAGGAAAGCACAAAAGAGGGTTAAAGATTTTAAAAACATCTGTAAATGACCAAATCCACCTGAAAAATCGCGATTTTTGTTTCCAAATCAGCCGTGACTTATGTCAGTCAAAACTGAGGGTGGCATATCCCACAGACCTTCCTCGGGAGCAGTACAGGGCAATCTCTCATAAGGGTTGGCCGACAGTATCTCAAGAAACACAAGTGGCCTTTTTTTTTTTTTTTTTTTAGGATTTACTTATGTATACACACAAGAACTGGGGTACAGGCCAGAGGTGCTGGGGGTTAGAGGATTCACCAGAGACAGGGCGGGGAGCAGAACAGGCAGATCGACTGAATTATACTGTGGAGGGGAGCAGTGGGAAGACGGGAGAGGTCTGGGAGCCATGTGGGTCAGTTCCCTGACCAGGGATTGAACTCATGCTGCAGTGGCTGCAGACAGCTTCACAGTGCTGCACTTTAACCCGTTGTGCCACCAGAAGGTGTTCCTTTTAATCTTGAATGTTTCCACAGAAAATATCGTTCAGTTGTCATTAGGAGTGTGACTAGGGCGGTGGATAAGTTAGTAGAAGAAAACAACTTTCACTGACATTTCACCCTACAGATTTTCTGTCATGTATGAAAAAATTATGTCCTGCAAGCAATTAAGAAGCTAAAAATTCAGCCTAAGAGTCACCAAGTATCCTTGTTAGAACTACAAGTCACTAGACTGGATCTACTAGTCCTACCTTATTAAAAGGAGGAACGGTCATTAGGACAAGTAACTGCACCTCAGTGACATCCAATTCACAGTATCCTAGACCAGTATTTTAGTCCTGGTCAGGCTAGTAATTCGATGGAAAGGTTAAATGACTCTCTACTCCATTTTAGAATAGAAAAATGAGTCTGGCCTCCCTGGTGGTGCAAAGGGTTAAACTGCAGCACTATGAAGCTGTTGGAAGCCACTGCAGCAAGATTTTGAGCCCCAATCAGGGAAGTGACCCACAGGGCACAGCAAGCCTCTCCTGTCTCCCCACTGCTCCCCTCAGCAGTTTATTTCAATAGATCTGCTATTCTGCTCTCTACTCTGTCTCCGGTAAATCCTCTCACACACTCCCAACACCTCTGGCCTATACCCAGAGCTGCATAAATAAATAAATATTTGGAAAAAACAGTATGAGTTTAGGATTAAACAATGTCAACAATATGATTCAAATAGTGTAAGGCCTTTCTAAAAACCTGAAAGGGTCAGCAATTATCTCTGCAATCTCAAACCAAGGGCAGATAAAGATGGAAAATACATTAAAGCTTGAGCCCCAACATTTTAAATAATGTCTGTGAGTATCAATTTGTAGTTTATTAAGTCATCCCTCCCTTCTTTTCCATTACTTTGCTGTAAGGTAGACCAGTGGGCTGGCAGTTGCCGTAGCAACTACTCACTTCTGCTAGCCACTCGATAGTGTCTTAAATTGATTTTAAGCCTGATGAGCATCCAGATCCAATGACGCCTCAACAATCTATAATCAGATTGTACTAGAGAAACTGCCCACATGACAAAAGAAAATCATTAAAATCCATAACAAATATGTTTTGTTATTTTTAGTTTTGTTTCTCTTCTTTGACCTTCTCAAGTCCTAGCTAAGGCTTGATTAATTTCTCTGTGTGCATTTAAGGAAGATATAAATTTGCAGAAGTACCCTAATGAACTATCACTTCCCTCTTAAAAAATAAGAGAAGGGGATAATTAACTTTTTTTTTTTTAAGTCCAATGCATTCTCAAATAAGGAAAACAGAAAATGTACCCGTTTAATTAAGCTTTCTCAAAAAGAAACTATCATCAGCTCTAGGAAAAAAGAGAACTTGCATGTTTTTACTTTTTTCTGCTTTTCTCTCTGGTTTGCACCTCAAATACAGGCATTTTCATCTGACTCACTCCTACAGTGAAAAACCAATTTATGACTTGCTTCAATAAGTTATTAAAATTTTCAACCATGAGGGTTTTCTTTTTCTATTGTCCTTCCTCCCCCCTCCGCCCCCAAGCTCAGTGAATGCAGAGATGCTCTATGACACTGGCTTAGAGCAACAAATATTGATCTGTTTCCTCACAAGCCTATTAAAAAAAAAAAAAAAACCCTGTTAGAATCATAACCTGCAGGAACTGAACAATGGTCATTAAACTCTTTTTTTTTCTCTCTTTTGAATAGCTACCAATCTAATTTTGGGTGTGCACAAAGTCCTAATTTTTAGATTTTCCTATATTCTCTAACCTGTCTTTTTAGATTTAAAAAATGTTCCCTTAAACAAATTCTCTGCCCAGACAAATACCTAAGCAATAACCTTAGACAGATGTGCTGTACATCAAACCCAAATTAAACACATTGCTAATGTAGTTACATTAGAGCCAAGAAGGAAAAAGGTCTGGATAAGTGAATTATCACTAACAAACATACATCACTTCATGCCAAGAACACAGAATACATAAGACCCCATTCCCACTTTGATTCTTCCCACGCTCACAAGGAGTCAGGTCGGCATGTTGCGCATTATATGTTGGTTTGCGGTGTCCAGACTGCTGCCTGCCTGCAACACTTTCTTCATATCACCAAGAACCTGAGATTGTTATAAAAGCGATGTGACAGCTGAGAGCAAATTTAGTGTCCATGCGTATAAACGTTCATTCTGAATCATGTTTGTCTGGCTACCCAAGTCCCTATTAAGACTTCGAAAGGAGAAAAGTGAGATATTTCAAGTCACAAACCTGAGTCACGTCCTCTGAGAGGTAACCCACCTCAGTAAATACTTGGGTCTTCCCATCATCCTCTTTCACCACCTAGTTATTACCTTCAAGGCAGTATCAAGACTGTGCTTCTCTATGAGTCACCCACCCTTGGGCTTTCTACACCAGCAGGCTGAGAGGTCCCTGAGGCAGGCCCTTGGTCTGATTTACCAGAGAACACTTATCACCTAGCTGAGAGTGGGGACTCAAGAAACAGGTGTTGAATAAACGACCAAATGGTGGAGTTACTGTTCTGGGAGAAGCCTGCACTGATTTATAGTTTTGGGTTATAAATGTGTGTGTGTGTGTGTATAATCCAGCTCTTGCAATTGCCAAGTCAAGTCCTACAGTTTTGTGCAAATATTTTCTAATCAATCAACAAATGAAACCGTTTACACAGATTTGTGAAGGATACAAGAAATGTATGACCCCTATATTCAAACAATATTGTTTAGTTAAGTAGCTTTCTCTTCTAGATAATACCAAAATAAACAGATGATGAGCTGGAGAAGGTCTCTTGGTTTTCTTTTGAGATTGACCCACTGCCACATGCTTTGGCAAAGGCTATTTCTTCACCCAACTTTACCTAAAACAACCAAAAGTTTACAGCATTAAACTCCCGGTGCACAATCTCTTCCAGGATCCCCTGTGGCCAGATGAGTTCTGGACTCAAACTCTATTTTTTTGGAAAGGTAACACCGGTTCTACACCATATATTGCAGAGGACCACACTTCGATGTGAGACCAGTCTAAACAGTCGTCAGACACATTAACACGACTAAACAAAAACTTGTTCACATATGGAGTAAAAACACATGTTTTAGGTCCTGCCACCAAGTGAGCTCAGGGCAGAAAATTGGTTTTCAAAGCCTGCTGAATTTCAAGATTCTGAATGGACTGAGAGCTGACCTGACTTCATGCAAAGACTTAGGACAATAATGACAACAGCCTCTAAGAGAGGAAGTGCTGGCAGGCAAATCTGGAAGGCGGCTTTAGGGAAGCCACGTGAGGAGGGAGCAGCTCCCCTGTGGGTACAATTTGTCCAGTCTGCCATAGACACGCCTTCTACTCAGGAGGAAGTAAGTTCTAGCCACGACTGTTACGGCAGAATGACTACAGAGAACACCGAGACATTAGGGGGTGTTACTGTTTGATGGAAAAACACTGCAAGTGGCAGTGGACGTTTTTTGAGTCCCCTCGTGTTCACTGACACAAATGTTGTTTTCGGAGTTTACCATGTAGCAGGCTCAGGATATGGAAAAAGATGAGACACATTATTCTGGGATAAATGGTCCTTTTTCTTGAACGCTCACAATGTGCTCACCCTGGGCATTCAAGAACCTCGCCTCATGACTGGGGTTCCAAAGACACGCATTTAACGTCCTGCTTTGCCATTTCCTAATGAGCAATTTCTTTGGGCCTCGAGGCCCTCATCCCAGGATAAGTAGTCACCGTCACGTAGGGAGTCACGTAGGGAGGCATGTCGAGAGGACGAAATGAGAACCGTTGGGAAAGACCCCTGAAAACAAAGGTGGGGGCTGCTGGCGTGAGTCAGCTTCCATAGCGGGGGTTTGCCTTTGTCAGCTTCCACGCCTCCATTCTCTCCACCTCAACGTCCTCCGCGTGCCAGGGGGGACTGACGCCGGGCACCAGCTCACACGCTGACTCAGACCAAGGCCTGACTGCCCTGAGAGACCCCGTGTTTACTCAGAGGGAGGCTCGGCCACAGAGACGCTTCTAGAAGTGAGGGGTGGCGTGGTGGCGTCACGCAGCAGGGACCTTCCCTCACGCACACAGACTGAGATGGCGTCGTCACCCTCCCGCCTGCATCTGGGCAGGCCTCCCCACACCCCCAAACACAAGTGAAGTACCTGAGGGAAAGGCCCAGGCATCCGGCCTCTTCCCGCTCAAGCTCAAGCCTCTTCGTCAGTCACTAGGCCCCGCGACTTCGCCAACTAGGACAAGCGCCACGCCCTGGCCCACTTCCGCTTCATCACTTCCGGCGCCTCGCTTCCGGTGTCTGGGTTCAGGCACGCCTGCCCGCACGTGAGGTTGTCGAGTGGGACAAACGGGGATGTCTGCATGTCA